CAGAGTAGACGTCGCGTTTTATTAAATCAGTAAAGGGTATCTCTTCTGAAGTGCACACGCGAAACATAGAGACTCAATTATTCTAAGACGAGAGAGACACACGACACGAGCTGCTCTCGTACCACATATTACACAGGAATATAGTGAGTCAAATATCGAAAATACATTTAGAGGGTGAGAATTAATTACATCAGAGCCCAGCGCTATACAAGAAGAAAAGGAGCCGTGCACCTGTGAGTGTGCATGTATATGTAGCGTGTAGCCGAGTATCTTAGAGTTGATTGGTCCCACAGCAACTTTTCAAGCGACTTCTCAATTACAGTGGACACACATATATCACTTGTAACCGGCGAACGAGATCGCGTGGAGTTCCTACCAACGTATGTTCAATACGTCGCCCACGGAGCGACGTTATCAGCGACTGACACGACTAACATGCTGTACCGCACGTCGGGGACACGACGTCGCTCGTCGTCATTGAAATCGGACAGGTAATATGTTCCATTGTAGTACATAAGTACCTACATGGTCAACTTCCTCGTTACGTCAGCGGGATGCGACATAACGACATAAAGTACACTGCCGATAACGCTTCGGCGACGGGTTGTATTTCTCGCATGAGGACCGCTTACAATGTGAATATTCATTATTCTCGATTATATTTTGAATTCTAAATACGGGAAGTGGACGACTATAGAGTATGGTTTCCAGAACCTAGTTGAGGGGTCACATCGACATTCAAATCCGACAGTGCTTCTGGATTGCTTAGTTCGAGATACGAAGTGAAGGGCGGGAGATTTAATGAAAAATCGAAACGGGACTATTCGATTGCGAGAGAAAGGGAAAGCAGGAGAGAGTCCTTTGACGGCGATTTATTTACGCGATTTGAATGGCACGACATCGGGCAGAAGGTACCGTACATAAGTACTTAACGTGTTCCCTCGCGACGCCGTTAACGTGTATCGAATCGCTCGCAACGTTGACAATATTCGAGCCCCTTTTACCAACGTAAACCAGGATGACCGAGAGACGCTATTCCGGACGATGCGCCCCGATATTGTGCTCGAGTGGAGTCGAGTGTCGAGTGGGGTTCGTCTTTAGTTATGGCACGTTAGTTACGCAATGCTTACTTTGCGATATATTATGTTACGATGAAAGAACGAAGTTCCTGGTGGCACATCCTGTACGTCGTTCTGCGATGCGAAGTCGGAAGAAAAAAAATTTGTACATATATTCGCGAGAATTTCACTTTCTTTCTCTCTTATAAATAGCATCCTTACCCTTTTGAGTCTGTAAATAAATCGTGACAATCTTAGAAATACTCGACGACTACAAGATAACTTTTTTAGAGACAGAATTAGCTGATTCTGTTATATCTTAATATTTTTCATGCTTATTAATCCGCGTAATATTTGATTTCGATATTGAACGATTGAGTCACGTACACAATTGAACATCACTGTGAATTCAAGAAAACAAGTTTATTCAACACGCGTCATATTGTGCCCGTCATCCCTTTAATTGAATTAAATCCGAAAGCTTAGCAGAGATCGGCAGTTTTTCCAATAATTAAATTTTATTGATTACGTCGCTGGTGCCATTGAATTTGCGCCTGGTGAGAATAGTGAGAGAATATGCGAAATAATGTCGAGGAGGAAACGCACACGTTATAATTGCCGTTTTTAATATCGACTACGGCATGTAATGTGAATAACGTATTAAATCTAGCGTACATTCTCTCATCCTACGTATCATACGAGCGATGATGAAAAGGGATCTATAAAGAGGAGCATAAGGAATTAAGGGGAGAGGGATATTCTGCCGCGTAATTTCCGACGGGCCAATGAATTACGCGATTATTGACACAAGCATATGTCGTTTTGGCGAGTTCGCGCATTATCGACGTACGTCGTTCTTTATTAACGACGTTCCTTCGCTGAAGCGCGAGCTAAAGGTCGGCGAATTGCCGACGACTTGTTTGCTCAGGCCGCCCGGGCTTCTTTCAATACCGCATCAAGCGGGATGTAATCCCTCGATATATGGGGCTCGTTTGTAACTTGTAATCTCTGGCGAAATGCTCGGCATAACTCAGAATTACGGCCCTACTTTCGTCCGAATGTCCGAAACGGCCCTACTTTCGTGAATGTCGAGAGCGAGCGCGATTTAACGTTGATATCTCCATTCGTTCTCGACTGCGAGTGGAGATAGCAGCGCTATGCAGCATTTTGCAACGCTAATCGGGGGAGGGGGGAGAGGGGGATCGATATGAGAAAAGAGAGGAAAAAAATTATCGCAGCAGTCAACGCGCACTGCTATATACTGACAATAATTGATATGATTAATCGTGTTATAATTATCAAGAGTGACGGCCGACGCGCATATTCATCGGTGATTCGATAATGAGCCTGCTCATTCCGAGTGAATAATACCATTAGTATTTTTAATCTTCGCTGAATTGCTCGCAAACACACGAATTAATCAAATGGGAAACATGCGCTTCAACTTTACTGCGACCACTTTATTGGCATTCAATCGTTGTATTGCAAAGTCGATGTATCGATTATTCGTACGCAGCAGTACGTAGCTAAATTAGTCTTCAGTATCTGAGATGCTGCCAGTATCCGAGTTCGCCTTATCCTGGCATCTACGGTAGCTATAATGAAATTATAGTCGGTCGCGGGAATTATCCCGACTGTATTCAACCGCATATACGAGCTACCGCGGCATACCGCGCCGCTGTATGATTGTTACTATAAAAGCTTCTTATCAATTACACCATGACCGATGACACTTTTGCTAATTGTGCGCTATTAATTGGATTTTATATTTGATTAATGCGTCGATAAGTGGGCGATCTTATGTTACGTTAAAGCGTCAGAATTCGTATTCGCGTGGCGTTTGACGTTAAATGTATGATTATAGAATTATTAAACAACCCTTATAGAAATATTATACTAAGAATCATTGATAATTACTTATTTTTAGTATTAAAAATACTGGATAATAAGTAATTATCAATGATTCTTAGTATGATATTTCTATAAGGGAAGTACAACTGCAATAATTTTTGCTCGTTCATTGTCGAAGAACTTGTTCCTTGACAGATCCTTTTTAGCATACGAGAGTCTATCAGATTTTGATGTAACGTCTACAGAGAAGTAGGGCGAAAAGATAAGCGCACAGATTAAATGAGATATCTTTTACGTTCTTATGAGAAGCTTGGAGAAACGCGATATAATCGGAGGTAAGACTCGATAGCTAAAAATCCTAACTGCCTTCGAGCAGGATGATATACGTTCTCCCCTGATGCATTAATTTGTAGCAGCAATAATAAGCAGGTGTTCCCGATTTGAATTAGCCCACTTTTGAAAGATGAAAGTTTTCCCCCATGTATATCATACTATGGCAAGGATAATACGAAAAGTATTCATTCGAAATGCGTAATCTCGCGTGTGGAATTCCGCGTGACAGAGATACGGGGAGGACACGCGGCGTGCATATCCGTTTTGCTGCAACCCCTCTACGAGATCAATTATCACTTCATTCCCTCGAAATTACCGTTAATGCCAGCGCCTGTCGGATTATAGTGCGCGCGAATTTCCAAAAAAGCGCAAAAGTTCTCCGGGTTAGCATCGGTATAAGCGGCTTAGCAGCGCGTGCCCGTGCCAGCTGGTCTAATCGATCTATCGAAAACCGACCTCCCCGTGGTATCGCATATGGAGAAGCATAGGAGACATTAATCCCATGAATACCGAAATTATACGCGCGGCAAGCGGGTTTTCGTCGGGGCGGAACGACAAAACCTCGCCTAACCGGCAAGATACAGGTCCGACGTAAATTTTCCCGTGGCGGACGTTCGTCCTTTATATCGTCGTAAATCGTGTACGTGCATCGACTCACCGATAAGATGTAAGTGAAGTATTTGTGATAATCCTTTTCTCATAATGTCGAGGATAAATGTATGTTTTAACAAAGTGCAGTTTCTTGAACGAAAAAGATTAGGTTTAGAATTATTTTGGTCGTGTGAGATATATTATATATACGTTTTTTGATTTTATATATCTAAAATTATATTTATAATCATAAATAGAAAATTCTATGAAAAAAGTATTTACGTAGTATCCTTTTCGAAATGAATTTTGAAATAAGGTATTGTTCTCTCGTTTATTAATACGTCACGTCATGGAATAATTTTTCCGTTCCGTATAAAATTATATTCCAAAATGAGTAAGATATACAAATACTGTTTTTTTTCATAACATAAAATATTATCTTTATATTGAATGTGTGAAAATACACAAAATCGACAGACGAGAATATTTTTCTGCTGCATGCTCACTCGTGTGCATTCACTCACGAGATTTCCCATGCGCGACGAATAGGAGTAAATAGCAATAAATTGCAGCAAACTTCGAATGAGAAACCTCTTTGAATGCGTATTCTTTGCCTTCAGAAGGAGACGCCGATCTCCAAAAGGAGATATCTTAGGTACTGCGTTCTTTGACCTCTAGAAAAGGTAGTTTGAAATAAAATAAAATTGCTACGGTTCTTATTTGTAAAAAAAAACGCACGTTATATTGGAAAGTTAGGGGAAAGTCATAAATGTGCATTGCATAAAAGTGACTAGATCTCGCGTAATAAATAGAAAATAGACATGTAACGTTTCTGATCTTATGATGTTCCTTTTTAATTTAAAGACATAGTGTTTTGATTCCTGGAAAAGACGACTCGTTAAAATGTTAAATGTCAGTAATAAAGCAGAAACCGCGCTAAAATTTTGCCAGTTACTCACTGGTATAATTAATAGTATACTTTAAAATAATAAATTAAGTTATTTTCTACGTTGAGTAGAATAATTAAACAGTATTAATATTTGACAAGTGTCTTTTATGCGCTTTATTCTGCTTCTAAGATAAATGTTTAAGACTTTTTAGATATATAAAAGCTAATTTTATACATGGAAATAATATAGCCAATCTTATATAAAGAAAATGAGACGATTATATCAAAAATACTGTTTATTGATAAGAAAATAATGAAACATGGACATGTACATTTTCATATTGTTTGCGATAACAATGAGTGAGTATATAACACAGTTTGTTGTAGCACTGAAGTCTGCAGTACTCCTTATCAGATCAAGATTGTTTTGAGTTTCTTCGAGCAGCAAATTACGTTTTAATCATGAAGCATTGTATCCTTTCTTCCACATAGTATCTCTCAAATAAGAACCGACTGCGGGATCGTTGTGCATTTCCTCCACGATACTTTTAAATCCAAGCTGACTAGCTAACATGTATTTACATTCGACGTCCGATAATTCATGCACCAGAGTTCTCATATTGTTCGTCATGAAATGATTAATACTCTTCTCTAATCTGTACCTGAGAATAACAAAATGCGTTCGCATGTGTATAATTTAAGAAAATTACCTATATTTAAATCGCATTAAAAATGATGTGTAAATCTCATTTTTAGCTCACCTACGTGCACAATCTTGCACAATTGCAGGCGTCAGGCTGTTCACCGTCATGAATTCTCCGAGATATTTTGTCTCTCCTCTGAGAATACAATGATGGTAAATGAGATTAGCCCAATCGGCGTGGTAATTATAAGCGCGTGAAACAATAAGTGTTTGAGGAAAATTCAAGATTTGCGACGATATCTTGTCCAACTCGTCGTTTTTCAGATTTAAGAGGCAAACCGCTTGTTGATTTTGCGGCACTGTATTCAGCAATGCGATTTGAAGAGCGACAAGTTGAGCTTGATGAGAACATCGGCTAGCAAGATTTAATTTGTTATCCTAAAAGCAAAATACATTATTTTCTGTAGTAACTTTTATTCGAAATAAATATGTCGTACGTGATTCTAGCATTCTACCTGTAAATAATATTGTGTGGCATGAGTGAAGTTAGTCACAACCAATTGCAATTGCCTTTGAACATGATCATTTCGAGTCAATTTGATTTCCGTAGAAATATCAGTTGCGCCTTTCCCGCACTCTTTCAATGCATCAGACATCAGTTTCGTAATTATTTCCTTTGCTTCGTTTTCCCACATGAGTGCGATTTCGTAATACAAACGGAAATGAAGTGCCACCAACGTAAACAGTTCTTTATTCTCTGGACACTGACGTTTCAAAAATTCTAGCAAAGCCATTTTAAGACCCGGTACCTTTATAATTTAAAAAAATATGCTTGTTAATTAAAAGATATACATTTACTTGATACTTATCGCATCAGACAATACCTTATCCAGACCTTTTCCCAGTAGAAATTCGAAATGATCATTTTCTTTCAAAATTTGAAATATGTAATTCATTTCAGTAAATCTGCCTACGCCCGTTACTAGTCGTACCTAACAATAAAAAAAAATAATTTAACTATAATTAACTATAATACTTAATACCAAGGATATTAACAGCTAGGAAACCAACATACCAACAACGCCCAATGTTTCAACATTTGTAACGTGTTTGCGAGATTCTGACATTTTCGTAATACAGATGCTATTCCTTCCATGTTACAGGAAGCCGTGAAACAATCGTGGGATCTTATCAATAATTCCACAATTGTTTTCAACGTCGATACTATAAACCGATAATAGACAGAAATAAAGCGTGAATATTATTCTATTTCAAGAAATGAATAATAATAATGCAGAAGAATAGACATTACCATTTTTTCTTTCATCATGAGTGCTAACATGTCTTCCCAATATTGACTGCGCTGCTTGTAGTAATTTTAAGCCTAATAACGAAGTATCGCTGCAAAGCTCCATTATTAAGTGGAAATGTGTGTTTATAGGGTATCCCCACATAGAGATAAAGTCTTCTAATCCATCTTGAAATTAATGGTATTTTGCTATTTTTATATTGAAATAATTATACTAGATACACACAAGTACGTAGTGCTTCTTATAGTTACCTTCTATAGCGCGATTAATGTGCATTATGATATTTTCAGTAAGAAATATTGCAACATTCTCCGTTGTGATCTTATAAGATGTTATTATATTGTTAGCGGTTTCACACTTGTTTTCGACATTACTTTCTGTGATCTCTTGCAAGAATTTGATAGGATTATTTAGCATCAACAGTGATTGATAAGTCCTTTTTAGGCGTACAGCAAGTTTATAACATGAAACAATTCTCGAACATATCGCATTTCCATGTTGAAGAGTTTCTGATAATTTCTCCAAAATTGAGATGCACTCTATTTGGTGATGACTGTTAGTAACCTTTGAATCGTTTGTTTTACTGGCTTCCCCAATGGAATTTACTGTAAAAATTATGGTAAAAATTGATATTATTGTAAAAAAGGAGCTACATTAAATAATCTTAAGCAAAGATATAATTTCATTATTTACGTAGTTATACAACAGAATCAAAAAACACTTTTATAAGTGAAAACATCAATATTAGAAAAGTAATAAAACATACGAGATGATGATGAGGATAATCTCTGGAGACCGCGATTGCGTAAAGTGCCATGCTTCTGTTGTTTGTTTTTATTCGTTTCTTCTAAAAAACTCTTTTGTTGTGTCGTTAGTTCTGCAGGTGAAATTTCACCTTCTGCTAAACTTAAGCACAGCATTAATACCTGTAAATCCTATAAAACATAATTATGCTTTTAATATTTATAGATATATAAACATTTGTGCTTTTAACATTTATAGAATATATAAATACAAAATAGAATATATTATATAGTATGTAGAAATATAGAAAAATATAGAAATAGTATATAGTATATAGCATATAGATAATATTATATAGAATATATAAATTACAAAAATGCACAGATGATTCTTACTTTATGATTGTAATTAAAAATCACGCTTATTCGTAAAGCAATATCTAGTTTGCCTAAATCAATCAGTCGATTTATTAAAATTTCAGCAGAATCTTTTTCACTTTCATCCTCCAGTGAGCAAGTCACTTCTAATTGATCCAAGTCCGAGAGTAATTCCGTTTTTAACTTATTAAAAATGTAATCATTACAATCAAACTGTATATTTTCAGGTCCAGCCAAAATACATGACTTCCACATGGCCATTTCTAGCGTGTTGATAGTTTGTTGTTCAATCTCAGTATTTTTTAAAGTTTCATAAGCCAATTTTAAAACCTCGTACCTATATAAAATATTTCGTTATTTGCGTCAGTATTAGTATTATCGAAATTGGATTATAAAGTTTTATTTACCTTTCTTTATGCGATATAACTTTCTCGGCATGTTCGACAAAAAATTCGACAGCTACTTGAGGAAGAACGTTGTATTTGTTAAAATCCTGAGCACACTGCACCCAGAATGCAGAATTTATTTGGCCACTTCTATTTATGGATTCTTTAAAATTATTCCGGGACTGAAAATAATGTCATATTTATAGAAATGATATATGCGTTTAGTGACACATTTATTGAGAAATTTTAAAAATTATTACTTGCGCTAATATGATTTCAGATGCACACAATCCAGCGGTGCACGATAATTCCAAGGCAGTGCTATAATTCTCGATTGCTACTAAATCGTTAATGCATCTCTGGATTTCCGTGTCAAAATTATGCATATTATCAACTACGGTAACGGCTGCAAAATTTAACATCACGTCGGTTTTCTGCAAGATTCTTGTTATATCCAATAAACATTGAAAATCTGGTATTTTAACTGCAATATACAATACAAAAATTATATGAATTACCTAATAATGACTCTTTAGCAAGTTAACATACGATTATAATTAAAATGTACATATTTTACCTGGCAAATCCGCAGAAAAACTACACTTGATTAGTGTTTCGAGGAGCTTTACTCGTAACGGTGTACTTTGAAAGCCATAGCCGAGTGCTGCAACAATGCATTTGGTTGCAACAACCGCAACCCAATACAAGTTCTTCAAGTATGTCAAATCTGCACTTGTCCAGTCCATAATCCTCTGAAAAACAGATAAAATTAAGAGTTTAAGTCGCATAGTATGTTGGAATTGTTTCTTTCTTGTTCCATAAAATTGTTTCTTCCAATAATATCTACATACATTACATTTAAGCGAGGAACATTGCGATTTGAACTCCAATAAGTGCTGTTGACTCTCTTTGAATTCGCCATACATGATTGCCTGTGTTAGAAACTCGATGAACTCGTTCAAGATGCTGTCCTGCATTATTTTATTATTAGTTACACTATGTTTCACTGTTGTGCTGTAGTTATATAGATATCAACTATTCTTACAGGCATGAAAATCTTATAAGCTCTATTAAGCGTGTCGATGTAACCAAACTGAATCATTTTACTTAGCAATTCTGCTATTTTATTGGCAGGCCATATTTGTTGCTCTAAACATTCTGCGTAATCGAGAAGTATGTCTTCCCTCCTTGTTGATATCACCATCCAACAATAACAATACGCCGCTACTGAGGATGGCTGCAATGGAGAAATTGTTCGAGTTACAATAGCAGAAAATTTATAAAATCTAGCTTATCATCGAGTTGCTGAAATTAAAAACCTCGTAATATGTAGCCAAGATAGTCAATATGGGACTCAGACTTGAACGAGACGTATTGAGTAACGTTCCAGGTGGATCTTGACTTTGATGGCAATTTAGTATAATTAACCATAAATCATTGTCCGAAAAAGACGAAAAGCAATTGCTGGTGGCAAGTTTTGCATTAGTTGTATCAGCATTATTTACGTCAGTTCCAGAAATAATTGAAGTGGATGTTGGGGAATCCTAAAGAAAACCACAGAAACATTTCTTATAGTTACAATCTTTCTTATAAAGAAGTTACAATAATTAACAACAAGTAATAACGATCTTACACTTTGTTCCTGTTTGCTGTATTGTCTTGTGTCGCGAGACTTCAACTTCTGTTCACTATTCGGTTGGTATTTACTAAGTTTGCTGTTGTTTAAACATGTTAACAGATGTTCTCGTATACTCGTGTTATTAAATAACTTGGCGTTTTCCAGAACCTATTATGTGATTTCAGTTATTTGATTAATAATTCACTTCTAATATTTTTATTGGCACATACATACCTGTTTTGTGGGATAAACAAATATATGACTGACTGCGACAAATTCGAACCACAAGTCATGGTTTGCTAAATATTTCGGCAATATACTAGGCAACGTGCAATTGTGAACACGTGCAAAACGTACGATGACGTCCCATGCTTTCAATGCTTCAATAAAACGCATATTATCGTTCGTCAAAGTATCATCTAGTAAATGCTTTTGGAAACTTTGCTCTAAATACGATATCACAGTCTTCAAATCATGTTGATTTTCATATACTACATTTTCCAATAAATCTCCTATAATAAAAAAAACGTCTTATTTATTTGTATTTTCCGCTGGTAACGTTATACATGTCAATTGTACACGTTATAAAACGTCTCACCTATGGAAATGTCCAGTTGTTCTTGTACATATTTTGCTACGGTAACATATAATCGTAAATTGCTTGAATCAACTCCTAGTAATTCAGTGAAGACAATACAACTACACACAATATCAAACTTATCTAAATTTTTTAAAGCAAGAACGTGTGCGTATAAAGCCGCTTTGGATTTCCTAAAATTATTTCAATTGTTAGCACAGTTAGTGATACAAATATTTTTATCACACATACTTACCTTTGAGAAGATACATTTCCAAGTAATTTAGCTTGAGTGTGTTTTAAACTATGCACAGCCATATTTGGTCTGCCTTCTTTCAGATAATATCCATATGTTAACGTTTCTTTATATCCGTACTTCTTAATAAGATTCTCGCTAACAAAAGTAGGCATAGCTTCATTTCTCAAACGCCATCTGAACACGAGTTTTGTGTTCAAATTTTTGTAGCCATCCAGTAATTCGTACATAGTAATTTCAGTTTTTTTAGTTTGGTTTTCGATGATACATTGCAGAGCTGGTACATGTGTCAGCGTAAACTGAAGAACTTCTTGGGGAATAATGTGTGTGCTGAGATTTAAATCGTTTGCAAATAACTCTCTTATTAGTTTACTTTTCACATTTGTTTCGTTGCATAATACATTTCTTCGCCATAGTTGCAAAAATATTAATGTCAAGCTTATCAAATAATTTGCTTTCAGGTAGTCAGTCAAGTCATCAGAGATGTAATCAATCGATTTAACAATGCCATGTATTAACACATCTTCATGACAATCTTGAGCATTACACATGTCAGTTAATACATTAAATAATTCAACAAGTTTTGCATTATCTTCTGAAGTATGACACTTCTGCGCGCAATGTGTAAGGCACAACTGTCGATCAACGGTTTGCAGAAACTCCGTTTTATGAATATTACAGGAAGCTTGTGATAATATTTTATTCATATCTTCTAATATAATACCAGAGCTAAAAAATCGACTTAATATTAATTTTAAATCATTCTCCTCTTCTTTTATACACACTCCATATCTAAAATGATAAGTTTATGTGATTCAGAGCATTATTGACAAGATACGCTGAACATATATTGCTGAACACATTACATGTATTACATATATTACATACCTACATAAGTGATTTTTTGTTAAATCTTTTACAAGATTACTAGCATTTGATGAGTCTATACACTCAACCATGTTAGTTGTAATATCTAAATTCGCAAACAATGATTTTAAGCTATGATCATTTTTATCTGTATTTTGCAACACATCAGGATTATATCTCATGTCAATCCATAACTTCAGTGTATTGATTTTATTATTAGATAACAAGTAATCCCATAAAGTAATGTTTGGGACATTTTCCAAGATGTCAGGATTACTTAGAGAAAAATATAATTCAGTGCATAAGGATTGCTTGATATTTTGTGGTAGCTTCACTATATCATCGATACATATATAAGAGTTTAATCCATCTTGTGCCCTGAAACAGTAAAACATATTTTATCAATTTTCATCTTATTGTATAGTATAAATTTTTTGATTTTATAAACTTACTTGTATTTCTTTTCATACTGTGTAATACATTTAATAATGTTCCAGGCTGCAACGTGTTCCATTTTGAAACCGCTAACTTTCATCATATACTCACACAAGTAATTTCGCAAAAGTGGATCCCTGCTTCTTGTAGAAGCAGCAAAAATATATTCTATAGGATCTCTTTCCTGTAGAAAAGAATTCACATTTATATATTGTTATATTATCATCACTTATAAATAGATTATCTGATAAATCATGATTGGCAATAAAGTATTATATAATGTTATTAAGATTACAAGTTACTTTTTATCTGTAACTATTTAGTAAACATATTAATCTTTTTAAATATGATTGTAACAGTAGTAAAACTATATTTTTTAGGTAAGAGCAATATATATAATTGAATCTTTTATAGCTAGTTTGTGAATATGTGTAGAATACATATACATGAGATATGTAGCATCAAGTCATCAAGAAAAGAATCTTCAAAACTTGATAAAAACAATACTGACTCAGTACTTCTTATAATAACTTATTATTTCTTGAACAACAATAACAGTAATGAGTAACTATTATGTAGTGCTTTTTAGATTACAAGTTACTTTTTACCTATTTATTAAGAGCTTCAATCTTCTTAGTTGTAATTGTAATAGTAACATAATTATACTTCTGAATAATAATAATGATAAATATAATTGTTTCTTTTATTGTTTGTGAGTACATGTAGAATATATGTACATGAGATAAGCAGCATCAAACTTGGTCAAGTTAGCGTCAAGCTTTAAAACTTGGTGAAAACAGTACTAACTCAATACTTTTCATAATAATTCATTATTTCTTGAATAACAATAATAGTAATGAGTAATTATTACGTAATGCTTTTAAGATTAAAAGATTTTTATCTACTTATTAAAGCTTTTAATCATTTTAATTGTAGTTGTAATAAAAACATAATTATTTTTTTCAATAATAGTAATAAATATAATTGTTACTTTTATGATTGACTTGTGAATACATGTAGAATGCATGTATATGAGGTAAGCGGTACCAAACTATCTTCAAAATTTGGTAAAAACAGTATTAACTCATTACATTTGCAATTTATTATTTTTTGAATAATAATTTTTTAAAATTGATAATAACAGTAGATTTTTTTAATAGGTAATCAGAATAACAAATAACAATATGCTAGTTATACAATGTAACTTTTTTAATCTTGTATATGTAATTATTACTACATACACACACATATAATATACAATCTAATATATACAGTACAGATAACTTACTATATTTTTTAAAATATGTGAAGCTCTGTAAACTTGTTTTTTATTTAAAAGCTCATTGATCCAAATTTCAACTTCCTTATTGAAGTATATGCATGCCTGATCCAAAGTACATTGCCTTCTGTATGCAAGACACTTGTGAGCTAATTTTATATGAGTTCCCTTAGCAGAGGCTTCTCTTACAAGTTCTCTATCTCCCAGAATACGCCAGCCAGACCATATCGCAGCTGATTCTCCAGTTAGACACTCCACAGGAACACCTCCAATGGTTTTTCTCTCAGACATTTTTGGAGATATGATCTACTAATGTATACAATATACACAGACTTTTCACATGAGATTATTGAAATGCACTGATACAACAAAATTTCATCACACTTCGTTTTAATTGCACAAAATATTTTAGGTACATAATTATAATTATATATTTATTTTAAAATTAAATATAAGTTACAAAAATTATTATATCATCCTTTGTTACACGAGTGAACTTTGTTACACATGATAAATACGCAATACACCATGAAAGTTAAATAAAATAAACAATCTAAAAAATCACACGATTACATAATATTCACATTTATATAATTACTTATAATTAACAATTATGTGTTATATAAATTTTATACTTTATTTCAAACAATTAACATTTTATTCTTATTTTAATATTTTGTTATGAAAAGCACCAATCTCTCAACCTACATCCTGCTGCACTTCTTGGAACGAAGATAAGATAGAGAGCGCTGATAGTCATGAAGTTTCTGCGCTTGCGTCAAGAATCATCATGATCGAGACGCCAGCTACATTCATTAAACGCACTTATAGAACTACGTAGCCACATTCGCAATTTCTCCAATGGATAACAGACCATGTTTACGATTTTATTCCATGCTGTGTCTACAATTTTGAGCACACTCATTCTCATATTTAAATAAACTATATGGGGCAAAGAAATTTATTTTCTCAGTAAAAAAGCAAAGAAGTTGAGGTTCAAACAATAATTTTGAAAAGGACATATTTTTTAGAAAAATTAATTTTTTGAAAAAATAGAATAATTTGTTAATAAAATTTAGTTGTTGTTTAGATTAATACTTACATTTTGTCTACGAAAATTCTTCATAGAAAATGTTATGTTTCATATTAACTATCTTAAATACACCCTAAATATATTTTAATATATTTTCCCTACAGTATTGTTTTAAATTATATTCACGTTACAAGTGTTCGAAGAAAACTCAAATACGCCAAGCTTGTTTTGAGTACCTAAGAAAAATATGTCAAAATAGTATGTAAAATTTTTTTCTCCTCACGCTCATATTTTTATTTCTTATTTTTATCTTTCTTACTAAAAATTTGATAACACGGAACGTGCATTAAAAAGATAAAAAAAGATAAAATAATTATTTGCTTAACAATTAATTGTAAAGTATTAATTTTTTAAATTATATTTTAAACTGCGAAACAAAAAAAATTTTGTATAAATACTCTATACAATTTCTTACATTTCCAAAAGTCGCCAAGGATAAATCTATCATTTTACCGGCGCTGATCTTTATAGGGTGGCTTGACATAGCGATTACTAATATTAAACTGCGAACTGATTTCGCTGGCAGTTGATACCAGTCAATCATAAAGCATATCGATCCAATTTGGCCGCTCTAAAATATTACTTACGATAATATATCCAATAAGTTTTATAATTTATTTCTTTTCTTACTATGACTTATAATAATTCTTACTGTGTAACTGTAACTGTGAAAATTAAAATTAAGTATCTCAAAATTGAAAGTCAGGAAAACGTACCTTTTCCATGAGCAGCTCGCCGATATAGCATAGTATATACATATTAAAGCAAAATGAAATGAATAGTAAAAAGTAAGTGGTCAGTCCGACTGTGTCACTATCTTGCCAATCCTGTTAAATCATATTAAGCAAAGTCTTTATGTATTGATTATACTTATCATATCTTTCAAAGGAATATATTGAAAACTGATCGAAAATGGAACAAGGAATGGTTTCATTCGATTCTTCTCGTCGAGACAATTCCAACGATAGGTAACGTAGAGCCAACTCGGTGGTTATGACAGTTAAAATGGTAAACAAAGTTAGGTATTCTAAGATGGTCGATGGTGCAATTTAGAACAGCGTCCGGAGTATCTACGACGTGTTTGGATCATTAAAGTGACCGCATATCGGCTATTTGAGTCGTAAAAAATAAAAAAGTAAAACTAAATTAGTCGCGTTGAGACTGCGATTCGAACCTGCGTGGGTTACTGACCGATGGCTACGCCACTGAATACCTAACTTTGCTGGCCATTTTGACTGTCATAACCACCGAGTTGATCCCATATGTTACCTATCGTTGGAATCGTCTCGAGAAGAATCGAAGCAAGCCATCAATTCTCGATTCCATTTTTCAATACTCTTTTCGGTTTGAAATTGTTATTAATCAAAACTACAGAAAAAATTACGTTATGTGTTCCTTACAAATTAATAACATATATTTGCGCACCACTATACAGAAGTATTCAGGCAAGCACATCGTAAATATAGAACTGGCAAATTCCAATAAACATACTTCCTGTAAGATTTCATCCACGAGAATTGCAAATCTGTAACAAAAAGTTATATAATTATTTACGATATATATATTAATTAAGGCCAACATTTAACATAATAAATATTTAACATAATAAATTAACGTAATTGTGTGTCAACGATTTTATAAGGAGAAACTACTTAATAAAAAACACTTTCATATAGAAATATCAAATTTTTTTATCGTTATGCAATTATTAGAAATTAAAGAGTAATGACAAAAGATTCGAACATTTAATAAAAAAAAAGAAAATTATAAATTTCCTTTCATTTGAGTGAAAGTATACTGTTACACGGTAGTAGTATATATATGGTATGTTGAAGATACAAAAGCATATGTTTAGCGTCTGCGTATAATCCATATATACATATATGAAGCGTATAACCTATAGACATATATACTAGATTGGACAGACTGCGCAGTCTAGTATATATGTCTATGGTATAACCGCACTGTTATTGAAACGCATTAGTTTCATCGGACGCACCTGTTGCATTTGTCTGTCGCTTATATTCATTACTCAGCAGATGATAGAAATTACATATAAGCAAAGGGAATTGTACAATCAAGTTATTACGGCAAATTACAGTGTAAGAGAGGTAATCATAAGATATCTAAGATTAAAGATATTTTTTCATTAATTTTAATTTGTGTATCAAATTGCTAAACACTGCTCCAACTATAACTTTTAATTTCTTTTTTGTGTGAATAATTAACGTCAGACTTTTCAATTAAAGCTCATTTAGATTGTAATTTATATCATAAATCAGCGTGTTACCTTAATACTCGAACGTGGCTCTTCACGATAGTTGCAATTCGTTGATTAATATCCATCGTTTGCTCGTAATGTTTGCCTTGTGAAAGATCATTTAGTCTAGATGCGATCACGCCGATCTGACCACATGCATGAGAGGCGAATATCGCCGCCAATCCACACGATCCCGCTGTGACTGTGTACATGGTGTATCCGCACATACAGTGAGCCAGATACACGATTTCGTAGATCGGGCTCACCTGAGTCTGAGTAAACTGACTGTAAGTGGGATACACAAGTGGTCTAATAGTTTGATTACCGATTTTGTGCTCAGTGCAAAACGGCAAGACCAGATGATAAATGAAGCCAGCGATATACATGGAAGATGTACTGATTATGGAGAGCTTACGACCGGTACCAGCGTATTTCAGCATCAATTTGCGGTCGGACTTCAACTTTACCTGTCACAGTATTACCAGTAATCTTATCTACATCAAGAAATGAGCGGCAATAACTACTAATCACGAGATGGATAAAATTATTTGGGGATGAGTTAGCGAGAGGTTTGCTTTAGTATATCTGATGGATACGGGAAACTATATGTGAGGACATGTGGATTTATAAAACTAGTTGATAATAGATCTGATTAAAATAAAAATTAACAATCAGTATACAAAACATAACTTTAATTATTAAAAAAATAATTATTAGAATCACAATTAACGCGGACTAGCATTGAAATATCCTAGTATAATACTTATACTTGTAAAATAGTTGTACTTGTAAAATGGCTAATTAAATATAGAAGTAATGCGGCAATATTATAATCATGTAAAATAAACTGACGTGCACATAGAAATAGAAATTATTGCTCTCTTCAATGAAAAGAAAATTTATCACTTAAAAAATCACTTCAATCAACTTCACGCGTTTCTTTGCAGTCGAAGGCACTGCCACTTCTCAGTATCTCGTGAAGAACATCTGTCTGTCAACTTTGTAACTTTTATTTTGTGTATAGATATCACACCAACCTGCCACCAATCGTTCTTCACATGCTCGATACACTGTCGTATCTTTGGACGACGTATCACAAGAACGATGAACTTCATCATCGCGGTGCTGCAGAAGCCTAAAAGTCCGGAAAGCTTGAGCCTTATGTTTAGGTCCTTCTGGTCGTAAATGATATTTAGAGCGCAGGGTATTATCGCGAAGCCTAATACGAAATTACAGATAACGATAGCAATTTTGGAAACGTGTTGTCCAATGCCCCGGAACGCGATCGGCCAGATGCCGATCGAGCCAAGAAACCAGCTGCTAGGTGTGAAGATGTATTGCATATCTCGCTGGTGACTATTGTTCGACGACATCGCGTGACCGTCGCGTGATAGTCTCATGTCTACAATGTTCTGTTAAAGACTGGACGACGCGGAGACGCAGCATTGATTGCAAAGTCGCCGGACATGCGCTGACGTTGCAGACATCCTTTCGCCTGACGGATAGATTGACAGGTCGGGTGAATGCTATTATCGGGAAATAGTCGTACAGTGCGTATATATTCCAGTGACTCTAGATTAAAGAAACATCTTTGCCCTTCTGTTCGGATTTAAACAAGTTTGATTAATTTGAGTTGGAAATAAATTTGAGAAGTGAGATAAGTCAACGTAAAATTTCTGCAGTATTATTTTTTTTATTTTACTTTATCTGCAATATTATTTTTTCAACATGAAATTTTGGAAAAAATTTTGAGAAACTGTTTGCAGCTTAATATCTCAAGCATTAATTTATGTCAGGATTAAGTCATTTATATAAAACATAGAAATAAAATAATTATTTGTGATGATCTTATTAACGTATATCTTAATATGCATGGATGATTTGATATTAATAATGGAGAAAACTAGAAGAAAAATAAATATCTAGATACATTTCATTTTTTTTAATTCAAAATGAGATATTATAAAAATTTGTATGATGGCTTTCTATGTTAAACACATAGGTAAGGTAAAAAATCAAATAACTTCTCTGTGTATCTGCAGTATTATTTTGATTATATTTATACTATTAACGTTCTTAGGAAGCTCAGATATGCCAAAGATGTTTTTATCACCTAAAACGATTATGCAAAAATAATATATGACATTTCTTTAAATTACAATTAAATTCTTCTAGAATAAAATCTATTGTTATATTATTATTTTTTGACGATAAAAAGTTTACTCTCTCCCTCTCTCTCTCTCTCTCTTTGATAATATTGATAAATAATATTCAATTTATATACAATTTATACACATTTGAGTGAAAAATAGGATTATAAAAAATACAGTCTCACACTTCCAAAAGTCGTCAATGATAAATTCACCATTCTACCAGCACTGATCTTTATGGGATGACTAGACATGGCGATTATCAATATAAGATCGCGAGCTGATCGTGGCGGTAGTTCATACCAATTAATCAAATAACATATTATTGCAATTTGACTGCTCTGTAATATTAATCGCAACTGATTACTTAACTAATATTGAAAATAAAATACTACTTAGCAGGTATAGCATACCTTTTGCATGAGAAGCTCACCAATGTAGCATAATATGTATATGTTAAAGCAGAATGAAACAAACAACATAAAATAAGTCAGCAGACCGATTCTATCATCCGCTTGCCAATCCTGACATGATATAAAAAATAGAATTTCTTTTTATATAATTCCAATTTTCCAATGATTATATCTTTGTAGCAATTATTAGCGCACCAGTATGCAGTAATACTCGAGTAAACAAATCGTGCATAATGAGCTAGTAAACTCAACCAAACAAACTTCTTGTAGAACTCTCTCCACAACTGCTGTATATCTGGAATATGTTACCTTACGTTTATATAATAAATTATATTATAAATATATAATAAATATATAAATATATAAATATATAATAAATATTTAACAAATATATAATATATAATAAATATATAATAAATTTCGTGAATAAATTGCCTCATATAGTGTTATTATATAGCCATATAACGGTATATTTTTTTATACACAGTGAAAATACGCAACGTAAATAATTGCAAGGCCATTATTCTGTACATATCTATTGATAACTGTCGGTTTGGTACGCTAATGTGATATCTGTCATTAGCGTTTGTCACATATACAGGGTGTCCAGTAACTGATCGAGCAACCGCTCTGTAAAACGGGTCAAAATAATCATAAAAGTTATATATCATTTTGAAATTTTCTTAATATTTATTCCGTAATTAATTAAAATGTATAAACGAATGAGCTCACGAAAAGCGGCAGGCTCTGTGTGTAAAAGGAATGGCTTATCTCTTAGCAACGATAAGTAAACAGCTGATTTCGAGGCGGAGTAACAAGTGATACGTATATACTCCGCCTCGAAATCAACTGTTTACTTATCGTTGCCAAGAGGTAAGCCATTTCTTCTACACACGGAGCCTGTCCTATCGCTTCTCGTTCATTCGTTTATACATTTTATACATTTTAATTAATTCAGGAATAAATATTGAGAAAATTTCAAAATGATATATAACTTTTATGATTATTTTGACCCGTTCTATTCGTACACGGCGGATGCTTGATCAGTTATCGGACACTCTGTATATATATTTATAAATAATTTTAAATATATATAAATAATTATAAATAATAAATATTTATAAATAATAGAATAAAATAGCAATTTTTATGCAAAATTGAATTAAAATAAGAAAAAAGTTAAAAAATTGAAGACATTAAATTACATTTAATAAATAAACAAATATTAGAAACAAATTAGCTTTTTGCAACTTCTTGTCATTACCAATGCTAATGATAAATAATGTTTGTCGTTTATAAACAAAGGTATCGTTATTTTTAACATGATATTATATTATTGTACGTGATAATAACATACCGACAAGATTTTTGAAAGACAAATCTATAAAGTTATATAAATTAGTCAAGCAAGAAATTGAGATTAGTATGCTTTAAATATTTGTGTAATTTTTGGATGTAATTTAACTTTAATTTTTTAGCTTTCTTTTTATTTTAATTTAATTTTTTATAAAATAGCTAGTTTTCATAGTTTATTATTTAAAATTGTTTATAATTATGATACGCTAACGCCAGATGTCGTTAGTATTCTGTACCGACAGTTGTAAAAAGGTATGTAGAAAATAGTAGCCCATGAGGACTATTATACTGATAGTCAGCGTTGCATGATATGAATGTCACCATTTACTATAGACTATTGGAAGTTTGTTAGAACCACCTGTTGCATTTATGTTTTCTCTTTTCTGTTCTTTATGAAAAAAAACGTTATAAAGTGAGGAAATTATATGACTAAAGTAATGCAACATTGTTTTTCTCTTCATATCAAAATTATAAATGAGTTATATTGAAAATTGGAAATATTATAAATTCTAACAAATGATATAGAAATATATCCATTATATTTTAAAATAAAATTTAGTGTTTAATAAACTGTTACGAACGATTATTAAAATATTGCAAAATATTACCTTGTTACTTGAACATGACCTTTCACAATAGCAGCGATTCGTTGTTGAACGTTTGGAATTTGCTCGAAGTTTTTGCCGTCTAAGAGATCCTGAAGTCGAGATATAATCACTTGAATCTGGCCACATGCATGAGTAACAAATATTGCTGCCAATCCGCAAGTTCCAACTGTGATCGAGTATATGGTGTATCCGCACACACAGTGAGCCACATATACGATTTCGTATGTCGGACTTATCTGACTCGCTGTAAACTCGCTGTAAGTGGGATACACGAGCGGTCTGATGGTTTGGTTACCGATTTTGTGCTCGGTGCAAAACGGCAGAATCAAGTGATAAATGAAGCCGGCGGAATACATAGCACTTGCGCTGATCAACGATAGCTTACGACCGGTATTGGCATATTTCAACATGCGTTCGCGGTCGGACTCGAACTTCACCTGTCACAGTATTGCCAATGATGCTATTTACCAAAATATGAACGACAGAAAAAAAACTGCCATTTGCTATAGATTACAGATATTATTACTTGAAGATGAGAACACGAGAAGAAATTGCTTTTATGTATCAGATTATTCAAAAAGGAAAAATATTGATGGATATTTGATCCAGATATAATTCCTAGTTTCAAATTCATCTAACACGCATAATTAAGAAATAGTGCTAATTATAGAAATTGTTTGTGTTCTTATATTTTTATAATAAAAATTAAATAAAAAATAACCTTTAAAATTACAATTTGATTTGAGTCACAATATTAGAATTATTGAAGTAGTACTGATGGATCTAGGTACAACGTTCACTCCCGGTGACCACTAAATGTATTTGTGCTATATGTGCATATGCTTGTTTCCTAAGGTTAAACGTTAACAGCTATATTTTAGTATTTCGCAAAATAAATTTAGTTATCAGCTCTGTACAATATATTTTGTGCACTGTTAACACCAACCTGCCACCAATCGTTCTTTACTTGCTGGATGCAACTCTGTATCTTGGATCGACGTATTACAAGGATAAAATATTTCGTCAACGCGGTGAGACAAAAACCCAGTAGGCCACACAGTTTTAACCTCAAATTGAGATCCTTCTGATCATAGATGATGTGTAGAATACAAGGAACCATCGCGAATACTAATGCGGAATTACACACAACTATAGCGAATTTAGATACGTGTTTTCCAATTCCCCGAATCGCGATCGGCCAAATACCCATCGAGCTGAGAATCCAGCTGCTAGGTTTGAAGACGTATTGCATATCTTGTTGATAACTGACATTCGGTGACGTCTCGTGTCTTTCGCGCGCGCTTCCCATGTTCGTGAGAACAGGTTCTGCTGAAGACTGCTCGAAGCGAAAGCGTGGCATTGATTGCAGCAGAGTCGTCGGGCACGCGCTTGCGCTAACTTTGTAGACATCCTTCTGCCTAGCAGATAGTTCGACAGATCAGGTGGATGCTATTATTGGGAAACAGTGTAAGAAAAACCTTACATCCCGGTGGTTCTCTAAATTGAAGATACATCTTCGTGTTACTCAAGTTGGAAGTTAAAATTAGATTTGGAATATCAAATAAATGAATGCAAAGTTTTTCAACGTAAAGTTCCGTGAAAACAAAAACATATTTTCATCTTTAGGTATAAAAAGTTTTTATCTTTAGGTATTAATTAATACCAACGTTCAAGTACTTATTATGTGAAAAGTTAAGAAAATAAAATATGTTGCGTGACAGATTTTCATGTATCAATGTCAAAATAATATTTTATTTATTAAGAAGATTTGTACAAATTGATGGTTTTCTATATTAAATAATCACTAGAACATTCTTAAATTTTCCGACACAAACTAAGATTAAAAACAAAGAAAATTGGGGTTTTTTTTAATATTAATTAAATTTTTAAATATTTAGTAAATAATTTTTAAATATTAAGTAATTAAAAAAATCATAGAAATATCTACTTAGAAAATCATGGCAGACAGAAATATAAGAATTTCACAAATAGAAATAAATATCATAATTAGATGACATACTACAAAATATTAGAATTCACTAGATGCCATTGTGATATCAATAATATTATTTAATGAGCTGTCATAAACAGAAATGAGCGGAATCATGAAAAGATTATTGCAATGCATCAGATTAATCAATGCGGAAAATTATATGCAAAGCTTGATTAAGATCTAAGACCAATAGTATCAATAATAATTATTAGCGAATGCATATACCAACTTTTAATTATAGAAAACCTTTATTGCAGAAAACTCGTCAAACACATCGAAACTTTGTAGACATTCTTTTGTCTAATAGATAAAATGCATTCTATTTCTGGGAATTAGAAGTACGCGTAGTATCTCATATGCCGGTAGTTCTATTGTAGATCGAAGAAGCGTTTTTCTATTACGTTTGAATTTACTTAAATAGGATTGGTTGAAGTTGAAATTATATTTGAAAAATTGAATAAATTAGCTTAATATATCGAGAAAAAGAAAATAAAGAAACTATTTTTATAAAAGGAAGTGCGCCATATGAAACATGTCGTGCATAGCGTGACATATAATGATACCATGGAGTTCATAACTCTTAAATATATAATTTTAAAAACTAATTTATCCCTGAATATTTAGCTTAACATCTATGGATTAGCTTTACCATTTATATTTATAGATACTAGTTACTAGAAAAAAAGAAATAAAGATATGAATATGATAATATTATAAGCATTATTATTTGTATTATATTTTTCTACAACAGCTAAGATAAGTTCTAAGTCAAATTAAAAATTATTCTTTTATATAGTTCTCACATTCTGCAATTGTATTTACATTACTAATGTCCGAAGGAAGCTCAAATACGCTAGAGTAGTCTTTAATACCTAAAAAAATCATGCTAAGATATATGATATACAAAATAATATATAATATTTCTTTTTTTTTCTAGTTATAAGTTGTTCTAGAATAAAATCTTGTTATACTTGTTATAGTATTAAATATTTTACTGCAAAAGTAAAAATAAAATATTTTTCGAATAATTGATTTACTTTGTTCAAAATTATTGTTTTACGAATTATTGTTTTATTGAATATTAAATAAAAGTTGAAATCATAATATATATAAATGTAATGTCTTACATTTCCAAAAGTCGCTAATGATAGATCTGTCATTTTACCAGCACTGATCTTTATTGGACGACTAGACATGGCGATTATTAATATTAGATCGCAAGCTATTTTCGGCGACAGTTTGTACCAATTGATCATATAGCACATCAATCCAACTTGGCTGCTCTACAATATAAATCGCGAGTGCTTACTCAACAAGAAGCAGAAATTAAAGTATCTGAGACAAATATACCTTTTCCATGAGAAGCTCACCGATGTAGCATAATATGTATAAATTGAAGCAGAATGAAATGAAGAACATAAAGTAAGTCATCAGACCAAGCTTATCATCCGCTTGCCAATCCTGACATATTATAAATATGAGAAATTCTTTTTATAAAACTTTCGCTTAAAAATTTTTTACTTTTAATTTCTACTTTCTATCATGCTGTTTTCTAACGTATATTAGCGCACCACTATACAGTAATATTCAAGCAAGCAGATCGTGCATAAAGAAGTAGTAAACTCGACTAAACAAACTTCTTGTAAAACTTCCTCCACAACTGCTGCAAATCTGAAATAAGTTGCTCAAGTTTATACGAGAAGAGTACTATAGTTTTATATACGAGAATACTGTCGCACTTATTTTTATCACATAGCCATATGATTATGCACGTGTAGTTACTATATACTGTGAAAACAAGTGTACGCTATACATAACCGCAGACCAGGTAATAAGCGTTATATTGATAGTCTGCACATTGTCGGACATGAAGCACCGTGTACTGAAGCGTAACGATGATGTATTCAAACCACCTGTTGCACGTCTCACTTATGGTTAGGAAGTAAAGCGTTACTTGTAACTCGTTATAATGTAGAGATAACGTAATTATATAACAATAAAAATAAGAAGACGATTTATTAAAAAAAGAATCTTTTCAGAAGTAATTTTAAAAGTCTAATTATTGTTGATTTCCAGAATGAGCAATAATAACGTGTTACTTTTAAAAAATAACTTTCCCTGTTCCTCTCTTTCTTTATTGTATTCTTTATATTTTTAAATAGTAATAATTAAGCAAATTATATAATAGTAATAATTAGATTAAAATATAATGCGCGTTGTTAATTCTTTCAATATGAAATTAAATTAAAATCCTCGACTGAAATTATTGAATTATTTAAAACTTTTGTGTGTGTGTGTGTGTGTATGTGTTACAGTTCCTTATTTTCATATCAGTATTATTATATATTATTGTACTATTATAAAATTTTAATTTTATCTTAATCGTTTTTATTTGTTTTTTCTTCTTAGAATACAGATTATTTTTGCTAATTCATATAATAGTACTGATAAATAAGTGGAGGAAACATCTAACAGGCCACTCACTAGAAAGAAATAAACAAAAAAGAAAAAAAAAATTAGAACATCGTACAAGCTCAAATAGATTTTGTTATTGATTGAGATATAATTTAAAAGTCTAACAGGCTCGACAGTTTAAGGTGTGAAAGTTTACAAAACATTACGGATTGATGTCAAAGTATTACTTACTTTATTATTCGAACGTGGCCTTTCACGATGACATCGAGTCGCTGATGAATATTTGGGACTTTTTCGAAGTTTTTGCCGTCCAAGAGATCTTCTAATCGTGTCATGATTATTTGAATTTGTCCACATACATGGGTGGCGAATAGAGCGGCCAGACCGCATGTACCTGATGTCACCGATAATATGGTATACCCACATATGCAATGAGCTAAATACACAATTTCGTACAACGGACTAATCTGAGACTGTTGAAAACCGCTGTAAGTCGGAAACACAAGCGGCCGGATGGTTTGGTTGCCAACTTTATGCTCGTAACACCACGGTAGGATCAAATAAAAAATCACACCGGCGATGTACATGATAGATGCGCAGATTATTGTTAGATTACGACCGGTGGCAGCGTACTTTAGCATCAATTGACGATCGGATCTGAACTTCACCTATCGCAGTATTTTCAGTAGATTTTATTTACTACATAAAGGAGAGACAGAATAGATTCGATCTATTAAGTGATCAATAATATTTTATTACTCTCTAGATTATAATCATCTCTGTAATGTAAGTGAAGAAAAAAATTTAATTGACTACACGTTTGGCGTTTGAGTGTTCAACGTCATATCAAATATAACTGTCACATTATAATGATGTGCAATAGGTGCATTTTATAAATTACGACAAAAATCATCATTTTGAAGAAAGGAATGATTCCAAAATTTAAACAAATTTTTCAGTTCCTCACGTCATACACATACACACACACAAACACATACACACACACACACACAATTTTTATTCACCCGAATATGCTACTATCGAGTTAACACACCATAATAAATTCCGCTACGTTATATCAATTTGATACGTCATATGAGATACAATAATACCGACCTGCCACCAATCGTTCTTCACGTATTCGATACAGTATAGTATTTTCGGCCGATGTATCGCGAGAATGCAGTACTTAGTCATCGCGGTGAGGCAGAAACTTAGCAGGCCGCTGAGCTTCAACCTCAGGATGATATTCTTTTGGTCGAATATGATGTGCAAAAAACAAGGAACCACCGCAAAGCTCAATACAAAATTGAAGAACGCGATCGCGATGTTTGACACGTGTCGCCCGATTCCATGGATCACGTCTGGCCAAATGCCGATTAAGCTGAGGATCCAAATATTCAACCTGAAGACATATCGTACGTCTTGCTGATAATTGGAGTTCTGTAACATCGTGCGTTCCTTTCGTACGTTTTGCATGTTCGTAGTGTCGAGGTATACCGAAGACTGCGCGGGAGACTATCGGAAGCGCAGCATTGATTGCAAGACTATCGGACATGCGCTTGAGTTGATGTCGCGGACATCCTTCCGCATACAGACAGAGTTTATGTAGTGGATCTACATACGCGATTAACATTGTATCATATGTAACCTGACTGTTGACGTTACCTGGAGCACATTTACCTGCTCGCGTATCTAAAAACGTCAGCCAATCCAAAATAATTAGGTGTGCATCTCGTTTTGTATAATTTGTATACATAATGATTTATTGAATGCGTGTACATTTTTATCTCGAGAGATATTCATTCGGCATAAATTTTCTTAGCAAAAAGGATATGGTAAATATTAATTTTTCTGTTGTTATCATTAGAGGATTAAGTCGAGTCTTTCCCGGGTATTAAACGACAGTTCGCAGCAAATTTAAGTACGCGAGCGAAGTTTTCAGAACCTATGAATTATAACAGGATATATTATATGACATTTTTTAACATATCTTTCTGTCTTCGAAATAATATACTGAATTGCACTTACGTTACCAAAACTAGAGAACGAGAGGCTGATTAATTTTCCGGCAGTAATTTTTGTCGGATGATGAGACATATTGATCATTAACGTGAGATCGACTGCAGTTTTTCCTGGTAAACGATACCATTCGATTTCATATGAAATGTGTCCCACTTTGCTGCACTAAATATTTAATTTCACATTTTTTTCAATCGTGCGTAATATAGCGTGTAAAACTTCGCAATTATAATAACATAATTTAAGTATCATGAAAAAATCTAATCTAATTCATTGTGTTATCTAAAATATTTAAATATAAGCACCTGATCCGTCAGTAGCTCACCGATGTAACAAAACATAAAAATATTGAAGACAAATGACGTCAACAGAAAAATATATGTCATAATTGCAAAGCCATCATTATTATGCCATTCCTGCGAGCATGACATCGCGATTTGAATATTTAAAGTATTCCATTAGATTAAAGACATAATATTATGTTTATATTTTTATTCAATGCCACATTTAGTATGAAACATTTTCTTCGATATTACAATTATAATATACATGAAGAAAACCATTTTGTGCTAAATGTGTAAAATGATTGTATATGTGCAAATATTTATCAAAAGATATGTTTAAATGTCCAAAAATTTTTTGTATTATAATTTTTATAATTCCTTATGTATTACCATGAGACAGTAATATTCCAGTAAGCATATTATCAATGTTGATTCCATTATTTCTACCATACATAGTTCATTTAGGACATCCTCGATTCTGGCCGAAAATCTGTAACATCTTTTAGTCTAGAACCTACTGCATTTGAGTTATACAAAGCTACAATTTTTCGTTGAGAATGTTAATTATAATTTTTTTATTCATTTCTGTGGAATGCAGAATGGGACTATTGGAAAGAAGATGGCCAAAATGTGCTCTATTCTGAGGCAGAAAAATCAATAGATAAAATAGGTATTGTTTTAAAGATCTCGACGAGTTAAAAATTTTGGTATTATCTCAAGTTAATACGATTTTTCGTTTCGGAAATGCAGCGTTCCAAAAATCTGATTTCCGTTACGATTTTTAATTTATAGGAAATGTTAGCGTTGGAGTTTTAAAACGATCGAGGGCCCATTGGAAAGTTGAGAGTGTCTACTTTTCAAGAAAAAATATATCATTCTGATTAAGTGCCAAATAAGCGGGAATCTAGGTGTTCCAATTAGAATTTTGGTACTTCCGATCGGTTTTGAGCTGTGAAACCACTTTCAATCGATTTATTGACTATTTAAACTTTAAGAGAAATTCAAGTCCGAATCCAATTTTTCTTAAAGTTTAAATAGTCAAGGAATCGATTGAAAATGGTTCCAGAGCTCAAAACCGGAAGTACCAAAATTCCAATTAGAACACCTAGATTTCTGGTCATTTTGCACTTTATTAGAATGATATATTTTTTCCTGAAATGTAGGCACTCTCAGCTTTCCAATGCGCCTTTGACCATTTCGAAATTCCAACGCTAACATTTTCTATAAATTAAAAATCGTAACTGAAATCAGATTTTTGGAACGCTTTATTTCCGGAACGAAAAACCGGATCAACTTGAGATACAAAAATTTTCAGCTCGTCGAGATCTTTAAAACGATACCCATTTCATCTATTTATTAAACTGGCTCTGAATGGGGCACATTGTCTAAAGGCATTTGGTCTCCCTCTTTGTTATATTTTCAATTTCTTTAAATTCTATGTTATCATAAAGTTAGAAACACTTTCATAATTCTATATTTTAATTTTTAATCTTTTTTTATATAAACATATACAAATATTTAGGTTTTCTTATGTGTATACTTTATTAATATACGTTCTAATACTAGATAGAACATAATTGTTCCAACTACTAGATATTTATATTACTAAAATATTTCCTTAAAAGTTTACGACTAAATGTGAAAGTCTACAACTAAATGAAATAGGTTGCAATTGTACATACTCACCTCAAAGCTTGCACATGGTGATTTACAATAATCGCTATACGATGCTTGGAATTCATATGACTGCTTTGCACATTCTGCACGAGATTTTCTACCTTCGCCATTACAATCCCCATCTGGCCGCAGGCATGAGCGACGAACATAGCAGCCAAGCAACACACTGCCGTGGTGATGTTGAACATTATGATACTGGAAAATAATTGTGCGCAAAAGACGAACACATAAGCCGGCACGAAGCGTAGATCAAAAATGATGTCAAACCCGGGATATGTTACAGGACCGACGGTAGAATTTAATTCGTTATCGGGTCTTCGTGACAAAAACGGTATCACGGTGTTATAACACAAGCCGCCACAATATATAAACGTTATACAAAACTTGGATAGCACGTGTCCTTTCACCGAGTCCTTTATCATGATCGTTCGATAATACTCTTCTTGGACAGCGCGCCAATCGACACTCAAAACGTGAATGCACCGTCGAATACTTCTATGACGAATCACCAGAACCAGGTACTTCATCACCGAAGCGACCACATAAGCCAACGGACCCAGCATCTTTATCTTGTCACTAGTCACGGTCTGATCCGAGAGAGTGTAGATGGTCATAGGTATCAGAAGAAAACTGAGAGCGGACACACATACTGAAAACGAGATCGTCGCTAGGATCTTCTCGATCTTCGTGGTGTACGGAAACACCAATGGCCAGATCCCGAGGACTCGCAGTATCCACCGGCTCCATATCAATGCGTTAAAGATATCCTTTTCATAGTTCACATTCGACCAAGGGATGGTAACAATTTTGGCCATGCTATCGTCTCGAATGTGCGATAGCGACTGCTGCAAATTGTCGACTGTGCTAACCATAAGAAGTTGCGCATGACCGCTACGTGTGACTTCATGAGGGAAAGGAAAACGATGACATACGTGCGGTGGAAAAATCAATTTTGTTCCGGAGAAGGAATTGCTGCAATTGCATGCTATCACGCAAGGAGCGTTCTATCGGCAGTATGTAAAATCGATAATCCACGTTTTGCCGTGTTTTTCAAGTGACTGATAAAATCTTCTTTTAAAAGCAGGTAGTAGAATATAGTGGCGGATAGTAGAGTGATGTTGTGTGTCTTAAAAAATACTAATCAGCAAAGTAATTATTGTCTAAATATATAGTTCTTAATGTGACCCTGAGAGCAGAAATAATATTAATGTATATACTAATTAAAAACGTAAGTGCTTTTCCTGTGAATAACTCAAATATATAATAGAATACGAAAATATTAGATAAATGCAACAAAAATAGAAATGAATTTTTGTGAAAATTGCTATATTATTATTGTTGTTCTTAGTCTGCGAATATTATGTGATATTCATTTATTTAGTAAATTGTAAATAATTATGTGGCTTATTTGATATGATTCGTGCACACAATAATTTATTTAAACGTGAACATTTTTATCTCGAAAGATATTCGTTTAGTATAAATTTTCTTAGTAAAGAAGATATATTACTTTGTTGAATGTTAATTTATCTGTTGTTATAATGGTAGGAATAAATCAGATCTTTCAGGCATGTATTAAACAACAGTTCGCAGCAAGTTTAGATACGCAACTGAAGTTTTTAAAACCTATAAACCATAATAAAAAAGATATGTATTATATGACTTCATTATGAATATGTCTCTGAAGTAACGCTAAAGTTCACTTACGTTACCAAAACTAGAGAACGAGAGGCTGATTAATTTTCCGGCGGTAATTTTTATCGGATGATGAGACATACTGATCATTAACGTGAGATCGAGTGCAGTCTTTCCTGGTAAACGATACCATTCGATTTCATACGAAATATATCCCACTTTGCTGCACTAAATATTTAATTTCACATATCTTTCAATCATGCGTAATATAGGGTGTAAAGCTTCGCAATTATGATAACATAATTTAAGTATCATGAAAAAATCTAATCTAATTCATTGTGTTATCTAAAATATTTAAATATAAGCACCTGATCCGTCAGTAGCTCACCGATGTAACAAAACATAAAAATATTGAAGACAAATGCCGTCAACAGAAAAATATATGTCATAATTGCAAAGCCATCATTATTATGCCATTCCTGCGAGCATGACATCGCGATTTGAATATTTAAAGTATTCCATTAGATTAAAGACATAATATTATGTTTATATTTTTATTCAATGCCACATTTAGTATGAAACATTTTCTTTGATATTACAATTATAATATACATGAAGAAAACCATTTTGTGCTAAATGTGTAAAATGATTGTATATGTGCAAATACTTATCAAAAGATATGTTTAAATGTCCAAAAATTTTCTGTATTATAATTTTTATAATTCCTTATGTATTACCATGAGACAGTAATATTCCAGTAAGCATATTATCAATGTTGATTCCATTATTTCTACCATACATAGTTCATTTAGGACATCCTCGATTCTGGCCGAAAATCTGTAACATCTTTTAGTCTAGATTTTACTGCATCTGAGTAATACAGAGCTGCAATTTTTCGTTGAGAGCGTTAATTATAACTTTTTCATTGTTTTCTGTGAAATGCAGAATGGAACTACTGGAAAAGAGGACGGCAAAAATGTACTCCATTCTGAGGCAGCAAAATCAATAGATAAAATGGGTATTGTTTTAAAAGTCTCGACGAGTTGAAAATTTTGGTATTATTTCAAGTTGATCCGATTTTTCGTTTCGGAAATATAGCGTTTCAAAAATCTGATTTCCGTTACGGTTTTTAATTTATAGAAAATATTAGCGTTGGAGTTTCAAAACGATCGAGGGCCCATTGGAAAGTTGAGAGTACCTACTTTTCAAGAAAGAGATATCATTCTGATAAAGTGCCAAATAAGCGGGAATCTAGGTGTTCCAATTAGAATTTTGACACTTCCGATCGGTTTTGAGCTCTGGAACCATTTTCAATGGATTCCTTGAGTATTTAAACTTTAAGAAAAATTCAAATCCAAATCCAATTTTTCTTAAAGTTTAAATAGTCAAGGAATCGATTGAAAATGGTTTCAGAGCTCAAAACCGGAAGTACCAAAATTCCAATTAGAACACCTAGATTTCTGGCTATTTGGCACTTTTATTAGAATGATATATTTTTTCCTGAAATGTAGGCACTCTCAGCTTTCCAACGCGCCCTTGATCATTTCAAAATTCCAACGCTAACATTTTCTATAAATTAAAAACCGTAACTGAAATTAGATTTTTGGAACGCTGTATTTCCGGAACGAAAAATCGGATCAACTTGAGATACCAAAATTTTTAGCTCATCGAGATCTTTAAAATGGTACCCCTTTTATCTATTAATTTTATTGCCTTGGAATGGGGCACATTGTCTAAAGGCATTTGGTCTCCTTCTTTATTACATCTCCAATTTCTTTAAATTCTATGTTATCATAAAGTTAGAAAAACTTTCATAATTGTATACTTTAATCTTTTTTTATATAAACATATACAAATATTTAGGTTTTCTTATGTGTATACTTTATTAATAATTGTTCTAATACTAGATAGAACATAATTATTCCAACTACTAGATATTTATATTACTGAAATATTCCCTTAAAAGCCTACGACTAAATGTGAAAGTCTACAACTAAATTAAATAGGTTGCAATTGTACATACTCACCTTAAAGCTTGCACATGGTGATTTACAATAATCGCCATACGATGCTTGGAATTCATATGACTGCTTTGCACATTCTGCACGAGATTTTCTACCTTTGCCATTACAATCCCCATCTGGCCGCAGGCGTGAGCGACGAACATAGCAGCCAAGCAACACACAGCCGTGGTGATGGTGTTCATTATCATACTGGAAAATAATTGTGCACAAAAGACGAACACATAAGCTGGTATGAAGCGTAGATCGAAAATGATGTCAAAGCCGGCATATGCTACAGGACCGACGGTAGTATTTAATTCGTTATCGGGTCTTCATGACAAAAATGGTATTACGGTGTTATAACAGAAGCTGCCACAATATACAAACGTTATACAAAACTTGGACAGAACGTGTCCTTTCACCGAGTCCTTTATCATGATCGTTCGATAATCCTCTTCCTGGACAGCGCGCCAATCCATACTGAGAACGTGAATGCACCGTCGAATACTTCTATGACGAATCACCAGGAGCAGGTACTTCATCATCGAAGCGATCACATAAGCCAACGGACCCAGCATCTTTATCTTGTCATTAGTCACGGTCTGATCCGAGAGAGTGTAGATGGTCATAGGTATCAAAAGAAAACTGAGAGCGGACCAACACACTGAAAACGAGATCGTCGCTAGGATCTTCTCGATCTTCGTGGTGTACGGAAACACCAGTGGCCAGATCCCGAGGACTCGCAGTATCCATCGGCTCCATATCAATGTGTTAAAGATATCCTTCTCGTAGTTCACATTCGACCAAGGGTTGGTAACAATTTTGGCCATGCTATCGTCTCGAAGGTGTGATGGCGACTGCAAATTGTCGACTGTGCTAACCATAAGAAGTTGCGCATGACCGCTACATGTGACTTCATGTGGGAAAGGAAAACGATGACATACGTGCGGTGGAAAAATCAATTTTGTTCCGGAGAAGGAATTGCTGCAATTGCATGTTATCACGCAAGTAGCGTTCTATCGGCAGTATGTAAAATCGATAGTCCACGTTTTCCCGTGTTTTTCAAGTGACTGATAAAATCTTCTTTTAAAAGCGGGTAGTAGAATATAGTGATGGATAGTAGAGTGATGTTGTGTGTCTTGAAAAATACTAATCAGCAGAGTAATTATTCTCTAAATAGTTCTTTATGTGACCCTGAGAGCAGAAATAATATTAATGTATATACTAATTAAAAACATAAGTGCTTGTCCTGTGAATAACTCAAATATATAATAGAATACGAAAATATTAGATAAATGCAATAAAAATAGAAATGAATTCTTGTGAAAATTGCTATATTGTTATTGGTGTTCTTTTTCTGCGAATATTATGTGATATTCATTTATTTAGTGAATTTTAAATAATTATGTGGCTTATTTGATATGATTCGTGCACACAATAATTTATTTAAGCGTGAACATTTTTATCTCAAAAGATATTCATTTAGTATAAATTTTCTTAGTAAAAAAGATACATTACTTTGTTGAAAGTTAATTTATCTGTTGTTATTATGGTAGGAATAAATCAGATCTTTCAGGCATGTATTAAACAACAGTTCGCAGCAAGTTTAGATACGCAACTGAAGTTTTTAAAACCTATAAACCATAATAAAAAAGAGATGTATTATATGACTTCATCATGAATATGTCTCTGAAATAACGCTAAAGTTCACTTACGTTACCAAAACTAGAGAACGAGAGGCTGATTAATTTCCCGGCGGTAATTTTTATCGGATGGTGAGACATGCTGATGATCAACATGAGATCGAGTGCAATTTTGCCCGGTAAATGATACCACTCAATTTTGTACGAAGTATATCCCACTTTGCCGCACTAAATATTTCATTTCACTTAATTTTCGATTGTGCGCAACGTATAACGTGTGTAGAGCTCTTTATAATTTACATAATTCAAGTAATATCAACATTTTAAGGTAATTCGTAATGTTATCTAAAATATTCAAATATAAGCACCTGATCCGTCAGTAGCTCACCGATGTAACAAAACATGAATATATTGAAGACGAATGACATCAATAGAAAAAAATATGTCAGAATTGCAATGGTATCACTGTTTTGCCATTCCTATGGACACAATATCAATTTATTGGATTTATTTATTGGATTTATAACTACTCAATTAGATTAAACATATAATATTATATTCATGTTTTTATTTAATGTCACATTTAATATTAAATATATTAATTAATGTTAAAATTATGTTATACAAGGTGAGCCAAATGTATGGATACACCCGAATAAATCTTCAGGACAACATTTTCGGAAAAAGTGATCTGAACAAAAGTTGCTCGAGCCTAAAAAAACTATCTGCTGGTGACTTTGGATTTAATCTTGGCCCCAATCTTCAAGGTTATTTGGAGGTCAACTTTGCTTTTTTAAATAGAAAAATATATTTTTTATTACGGAATTTTATTTTACATAAAAGAGCAAATAACTTTTGTTTGAAAGACTTTTTTATACGATCTCTATTTTCTAAGATATTTACGGAAATATCTACAAAATTATTGGTTTCAATAATTTTTTACTCGAATTCTACCAACTTTATCGAAAAATAATAAGAGATAAAAATTACCTATTTTCTTCTTATAGAGCTCTGTGAATTTTTTCAGGATTTTCTAATTAATTTTTTAGTAGTGCATTTTTTGCATTTTCTTGAAATACTAAAAAGTTCATATAAAATTTTTAAAAAATTCTCAGAACTCTATGAGAAAAAAATAAACAATTTTTATCTCTCGCTATTTTTCGGTAAAGTTGATATAATTCGAATAAAAAATTATTGAAACCAATAATTTTGTAGATATTTTCATAAATATCTTAGAAAATAGAGGTGGTATAAACATTTTTTTTAAACAGAAGTTGTTTGTTTAATTACGTAGAATAAAATTCTATAATAAAACATATACATTTCTATTCTACAATCTATCTACAAGTAATCTTGAAGTTTGAGTTCAAGATTATATCCAAGGCAGATGGTTATTTTAGGCCCGAGCAACTTTTATTCAGGTCACTTTTTCCAAAAATCCTGTCCAGAAGATTTATTCGTGTGTATCCATACATTTGGCCCACCATGTATATCTAGAAACCAAGCGATATACATTTTTGGTGTTAAAATTATGAAATGTGTATATAAGTGAAAATATGTTCTATAACAGTACAATTATACATACACATATATATAACGAAATAATTTTTATAATTTCTTACGTATTACCGTGAGGCAGTAATATTCTAACAAGCATATTATCAATGTTGATCCCACAACTTCTACTAGGCATATTTCACTCAAGATATTCTCGATGCTGGCCGAAAATCTGTAAGGACTTTTAATTTAGACTTATTCTATTTAACTTCTACCGAGCTGTAATTGTTTACAGCTGATTATAATAATTTTCTCTTTTATTTTGGTGAAGTAGCGAATGCGCAAAATTAAATTCATTAAATTCGTTACATTCCTTATTACTTAACGTTCTTTAGATTTATCAGATCAGAAAAATTTGTAATATTTCTATTTCTATTTTTGAATATTTCTATTTTTTACGTACATGTATGTTATTAAACTATAAAGACTTTTTATTTGTAACCGTTTAAGGGGATGCCGGACATGAAAAAAACATTGACTTTTTTCTGCAAAGTTTACATCTAGTTGCTTGCACGGAACTACAAGCACTTTTACATAACAAAAGTACACGCAAAAATAAATTGCAGCATTGCTCAATATGTGACGAAAACGAAAAAAATTTATATAAATTTAAATTTTGAGCTGTCAGTTAGTGCAATATTTGCTTAATACAACTATTCTGCAGGTTATACATATTGAAACTGTGAATGCTCCAATCAGGAAAAGTTCAAAGATCACTACTACACTTTCAAAATTTAGTTTTGATGCCAAAAAATATACGAAAAGTTTGCAGAAAAGTTTATGAGAACATGCGGTTAGGTATTCCGACAATTATGATAAAGTAGAGCAAAAAATTAGTTCACGGATATTTTATATAACGTGCGTGTTATAAAACAGTTACATTGTTGAGTAGGAAATTATAACATTGATGTTATGTTACTGTTACTTTGTGTTTACTGGGATATTGATGGATGCTCCGGTTCATTTTCGCATATATTTTCCATGTATAATAAAAGGATTTTTAATTCTACGTAGGTAGAAAAAAGTAAAGAAAGATTCGATTTCGTGGTAGTAATAGTGCATTATCGTTTTAGTCTCATTTTTTGGATGTGTTGCTTCATTTTCGCACGTAATTCACAATGCAAAATGGCTTTTACTTTGGTCCAATTAGCACGAAACAATAGTTTCGCAAAAGTATTCGGTATCACGTCAACAACATATGCCAAAAAATTTTAATTTTTGTTGACTTGACCAAATTAAAAATTCTTTTGTATAGCAAAGATACATGCATAAATGAAATAGGGCATTCCTCTTTTAAGGATGAAAACGATGTGGAACTACTGCTATCGTGACACTGATTTCATTTTTCAATAATTATAGTTTACTAACTGCTTCAATTTATATGGTAAAATTACATGCGAAAATAAAGTATAACATTGGTCAGTGCGAAATAAAAAAATATCTTAAATTACCGTTGCTAATTATATTGAAATCTCAAATAATAGGTAACGTATTCTTCAAAATATTATTTGGAAATTACAACACTCTTTTCTAAAAATTTTTTCTTTGATGCACCCAATACACAAGCGGTTTGAAGAATTCATCAGAAATGCAGCAAAAGCCTGTTTTGGAGAGAATGCGAATATCGGCAACGTGGCATTCACATTTATGTAATGTCTATGTGTAAGAAAATTGAAATGACAACATAGCACATACACTTGCATAACATTTGTGAAAGGATGATAGCGGTATTATGTTAGCGCCTATTTGACGATCGTCTTTATTCTATAAATATATATGTGTATATAAATTCGATATCGTCGGTAAATGAAGATAACATTTTCTACTTTTTGACGATCGCTCTACGTTATCGATGCTTATCAAGTTCATCGCTCGCTCCGGCATTCCCTTAAACCAGAGTTGGGCAAAATTTGCACATCTCAGGCGATATTCAGTAGGTAACTCCCACCGTTCCCCTTTCATCGCTCCATGTCCGGCGACCGAGGCGACGATCGCGGTGCGCTCAGGTCCGTTGCAGTATAAGAAATGGGCTGTGATGCACCCTTGAATCATATTATCATTAAAATTTTTTCCTCGTTTAATAATCACTTTAAAATATATATGTTTACGTGTTTTATATATATACACACACACAAACACACACACATATATACAGGGTGTCCCGCGTAAGACGGACCAAAAGAAAAATATAAGTAGAACACATAAAAGTGAACAAAAATTGTATAGGTCATTTTTCAAACAACCACGTAAAATTTCGAGATATTAATTAAAATAGTTGAGCATATCAGAGCGCGACGACCCGGCAAGCGGGATATACGGCTTGCCGCGGCCGGCGAAGAAAATGGATGATTGCTCTCGGGCCTATCTTATAGGCCAGAGAGGTGGGCCGTTTGGCATATTGAAATGAGTAGCTCCGTGTGTGCGTCCGTGTACGTGTGCGTTCTTCCATTTTCTTCGCCGACCGCTGCGAGCCGTATGTCCCGTCTGTCGCATCGCGCGTTCTAATTTGTCCAACTATTTTAATTAATACCTCGAAAATTTACGTAGTTGTTTGAAAAATGACCTATACTATTTTTGTTCACTTTGATGTGTTCTACTTATATTTTTCTTTTGGTCCGTCTTACGCGGGACACCCTGTATATGTGTGTGTGTGTTTGTGTGTGTGTATATATATAAAACACGTAAACATATATATTTTAAAGTGATTATTAAACGA